TGCACCTACTAAATTACAGATCTTACACAACTATGCACTAAATAATGAGCGGTAGAAATTTCCACTGACATTCATAATTTCTGGAAATCCTGCAAAATTACCCATAACACAGTTAAAGAGACTCACAGGACTCTCAGGTACTAAACATGGACTTTTATTAACTGAAGACATAAAAGGCTCACTCAGTAAAATTAATTTTGCACAATATTCAACAAGAATACTTAATATTAGGATTTTAAATGTGGGCTGTTTTTAAATATATTAAACACATTAAAAAAACTATTTTGAAATGTGACATTTACAATTGGTGAGAAATTGATCTGTGATTAAAGGGAAACTAGGAGGTGCTGAATAATGGTCTAGAATCCATGCTACGACTTTTAATTAAATCCTCATTTAAACTGTGCAGACAAGTATTATTGTTCCCCTTTTACAGATGTAGAAAAATGAGGTTTGAGGAAGTTAAGTAAATATGACAAAGTTCATACAACCCAGATCTGTCCCATTCCAATCTGAAGCAAAGACCTTTCTCTTCTTCATTCTCCCCTCAAAGGGCAGGGAGGACCATATACAAAGTTTCCTTACTTATACCCAGCATTTAATACCATCTCTGAATTTTAAGGAGGGAAAGAAAGGAAGCCTGAAATAGAAATGGCTGATTACATCCTACAATTTCTATTACCATTAAATGATTCTTTCTGAAAGTCACTTATTAGAGAGAACTCATGGAAAATTAATAGTCATTTGAAAGCAAAAACAGATTTTTTAGTTGAATTTGCCACTTACTATCCATAGGATTCTGACAAATCCAGAAAAGTTGCCGGGTATTTGTTTGGAGAATGTGCAATGTGTATCCACTTCCCCCTCCTCCATCACCACCAAAAGATTGGCTCTGATGGGCATGGTTTGCATGTTAGAGACAGCAGAGGAAAGAACAAGGACTCAACAGCACTAGGTGTCAATGTCTAACCCAGCTTCACAGCACAGCCAGAGTAAATAGTATTAAGAGACAAGCACATGAGGCAATTCTCTAGATAGCCACAAACAACTCACTTCCTTGATTTCCATTGGCAGAACCAAAGCCTGCTTTGTTGCTTCTAAACAAAGCTGTTCCTGCTCATCTGGTCGTTGGTTTGGGCAAAGTTCCATGATCCCATCTGTTGGGACCCACAGCCTACTGCTAAGGGTGTGGAAGGGGCAGGCAGAGAAAGAGGAGTGTCCCTGCTCTTGAAACAGGCCCTTTGGATCCAGGCTCAGGATGAGAATGCTGCCAAGTCTTAGACACTAAAGAGCCAAAACTTTTAGGTGTTGTTTAGGTTTTAATTTTATTAAACTGAAAACCCCTATTTTCAATTTTATTTGTTGGCATCCTTGTTTTTCCTCCCACTTGGCTTTCAAATAATACATTTCAGTTGGTGCTCAAACTATTTCCCAACGTGATCTCTGGTTAAAATAAATATGGTAAAACCCCAGAGAAGTCCCGGATAAAAGAAATGTCTCATAGCACAAGAGAACTCAACTTAATTTTGTTGAAAAATCTATAAACACATTTTAGCCATTGCCTACCCTCTCCCCAAGCCACTGTCCAGGATCTGAAACAGCAGTCAGAATCAACAAGAATTTATTGAGCGTAGACCATAGAGCGTGCACTGTAAAATGTACTGGCAATAGGCACAAGTGCTCTTTTGTTTCTGAGGACTCAGGATGCCGAACGTCATTTCTAGTTCATGTACCTGCAGCACTGAGACCTCCTAGAGTCTCATATCTTAGATCCAAATTTCAGGAAATTTGAGACAATACAAGGGAAACAAGTGCATTCCCAACCGGATACCTTGTATCCTGAGTCTAGTTTTGCTGTTCTCCTTGGTACACCTGTCTTGTTCTGCTCAGCTAACTCCCCTCCTTAACAACACTGTGACATGATCCACTCAGCCCAGGCCTTTAAGAGTTGTATTGTCAAACAGCAAACATTACCTAGCTTAGTGGGGGAAAGAGACTGTCATTTTTCTGAGGAACTGAGTTTTTTTTTGTTTTCTTGTTTTTAAATCAATGCTGTTTCTTTAATATCATCTCAAAGGTAAGTAATGTTTTATGTGTCAGGTACTGCACAAAATACTTCACATGCATTATCTCATTTAATCTCCACAATATTGCATTAGGAATTACTGTTTTATTTGTTTTACAGGTAAGGATTTCTAAGCTGGGAAGTAATAGTGCTGGAACTCAAATCTGGGCCACTGGACTCCGAGGGCTTTACCACTTCTGCATGTTGTCTGTAAGCTATTATACACAGCATGGTCATCCAGGTTTAGACAGATTTGGTTTCAACTCATGGATCTGTCATGTACTTGTGCCTTCAGCAAGTCACTCTCTCTGCTAAATGTTATCAACTCTGAAATGAGCATAATAGTATCTGGCCACAAAGGTCACTGTCAGGATTAAATGACAAAAATACTCATGATGGTGCCAGGGTAGTTCCTACCACATGTTAGATGCTCAGCAAACATCAGTTTTCTACCTTTTCTTTCCAGAACGTATGAGGTTCCTGATATTTATTTTTGGTGGGAAATAAAGGGCACAGATCTTGAACACTCATCATATGAGAAAGTTCTGAATTATTAAACTGGCATTTCTATTGTGAGGTAAGTGAAGGAAAGGAAGAAGAAATGGCTCTTTGTTGTGTTGGGGCTCAGAAGACAATACCCCAACCCCAAAATGAAGGCCTCAGAAGCACAAGTTTCTCTCTGACCCTCTCCTGCGCTTTATCTCTAGCCTCTCATTTTTCCTGGTGGCTACCCACAGAAACTAGAATCCCTCTTCCCCAAGGTGGGTCATAGAAACCAGAACTACTTTTCCCCAAAGTCAGCCATAAAACTTAAAAATATTATTCAAACATATTGTCCTACTGTTCTGTATAAAAACTGGCCATAAAGAAATTATCTGAGTTACCCTGTTTGACTGCAGGTCCTAAAACTCCCCGTTCCAGAGAGGGTTCTGACCCATACCCAGAAGAAAGGAATGCTGCTTAGACAGGCCAGGAATAACCTGGACAATTAGGCCTTGCTGGGTTTCCCTTCTCCCCACTTAGTCTGTTAGTATATTTCTATTCTACATGTGCTGCTATCCATATGTGAACCAAAAAACTACATACTTGGGCCTAAAAGCATCAAAGTGGGTCTCCAAAATAAATGTAAAACAACTGATTAAATAAAACTGTATGACTTTTTTCCTATGCCTTTTCTTGTATGCCTTTTGTCAGTTGATTTTTAGTGAACCTTCAGAAGGCAGGGAGGAAGTTCTCCTTCGACCCTATACTTGTAAATAATGCTCCCAGTAACAATGGATATTTTTGCTGGTGCCTTTCTCCTGGCACCCACCTTGGCAGCTCAACTTTTCCTAACATCTGATGCATCTTGTCAGGTTCTCTTATTCCCAGTTCACATCCCACCTCCTAACTTTGCAAATTTTTGTATCCCTGTCTACAAAGTGCTAATTGGACTGACAATTCAACAGGACTAGAAGTTAACATATGTTCATTTTAAAGAACTGTCTTATGTGGACACTCCTTCCTACTTTTGTTTATTCTGAGTAGTGAGACCAACTGCTGCTCTTAAAGCTAGCAAGGGGAGACAGCAACCACTCCACTAGATGTTCAGGAAGTGGGGTAAGTGCAGATAACAGTGGCCTAGTAAGGAAGGATAGGCCTACGATGGGGATAGGGACATTTGCCACATCCCTGGAGGATGTGAGAGCACTGACCATGCAATTTCTCAATTCAAGAGAGAAAATATGTGGGCTCTCACAGTGGGTAGAGGTTTAGTAACTAGAATTTTGAAGGTACTTACTTGTAACAGATTTTAGTATTTTGCCAAGTAAATCATTATGAATTAAGTTTAAGATAGCTTGAGAAGAGAAAGAAAAGTTGGTACCAAAAGGGATATAGTCCTAAACTGGATAAATTAGATATGTAAATAAAGTCAACCCTCAGAATCCCTGGGGGATTAGTTCCAGGACTTCCTGCAGACACCAAAATCCACAGATGTTCAAATCCTTGAGATAAAATGGCCTAGTGTTTGCATATAATCTGAGCACATTCTCCTGTAAATCACCTCTAGATTACTTTTAATACCTAAATAATGGAAATGCTATGAATAGTTGCTATATTGTATCATTTAGGGAACAATGATGAAGAAAAAAAGTCTGTAAATGTTTAGTATCAATGCAATTAAAAATATTTGTTTTTCAATCTGTGGCTTGTAAAATCCATGGACATACAACCTACTGATATGGAGGGCTGGCTATATGTCATGAAGCAAGAGGAAATAAGCATTCTTTATGAAAGAATTTAAAAGCCAATTACCTAAAATATTGATGGCAATAAAAGAAAAAAGTAACACAATGTGGTTTGTTAAACTGAAGTAACTATTCTTTTGGGGCCCTAAAATGTTCCAAATTAAAAGTAGATTTAGAAGCTTTATCATTTAAAATATACTTTAATAATTTTCAATGCTAGTTAATTTCTTCTTCATTTTAGCTATGCTCCTTTTATTAGCTCTTATTTCTGGAAGAAATTGTTTTGATTTGAAGTACTTTTGATGAAAAATAGTTGAAAACCATATGAAATACTTTTTTTTAACACCTTTAGAAAAATAAAGTTGTTGTTTATCTTTTGACAAAAATAATTTGTAGCATGTACATGTACAAACTTTTACTCATTATTACAAAACTTTCAAGTCAGTATCTTTACCCAAATCTAAGAATGACTGAGTAGCATACAAAGTAAACTGAGAGATAATGACCTTCTAAGGACACTAAGCAAGACAAATGGAAACTTCTGAGATGTTTAAATAACCCCATTCATTCACTGTTCTTTTTGCTGTTAGTATTTCTGGAATATTCAGTTGAGTTACATGGTTAAATTTAGATCTTGATAACAGACTCTCAACATAGTAAAAGCAGCAGACCTCTTCATGTGATGTCTTTTCACCCATTAACAGTACCTGTGCACACTGTCTTCCTGGGAGAGGCCATTTGCGGAGGCAGTTGTTTCTCAATAGGACTGGTGAACAAGGAAGTATCTCCTGCAAGAGAGTTTTAGTGAGCTGCACAAATATCTCACGGCAAGAAATCTTCCACCAGTACATTAAAAACAGACCCATTTTCTTTTTAAATTTTATTTTTCAATAGCAGTTGGAACAGTTAAGTATCTGAGATGACTAACAAGACGACAGTTGGTGAAGAAAACCTTTTCCTTAGCGGGATAAACAGAAAGATAAGGTTTCAACATTAGAATGTGCAGTCAGTTGGAACCATTAAACTAGGACACATGCAGAAGGTTGGGAGTTTCTTGCCTTTGGTCAAAACATCATGATTATGAAACTAAAGTGGTAGAGATCACAATGTTTTCACAACACTATAGTTAAAAGCAAGGGGCTGGAATCACAAAGATATTTTTATACTGTAATTTCAAAAGTAGGTTTACTTTTTATAAAAGAGGTATTTTTGAGGAGTGTACAAACTGCATTAAAAATGGATTAACTGTTTCACTGCTTTATAGTAGAGTTTTACAGATGGTTCATCTTCACTTCTGATTTATCTTCAACTCAGAGTGATTTATAACACTTTTTGCTGTGCATTTTTCTATGCTTCAGCTTTTACGTCAAATAGTTCAAGGTTTGTAAGTACAAATGCACAAGGGTGGACAGTCATGAATCTTTAAGAAGTAAAGTGTTATGTAGCTAATTATTCCCTAACACTTCTGCTGGTAAGTCTTGACTGTTAATTATTTCTTTAATCAAGGCACGCATTTCCTGACACAGAGAGAACACCTACAATAGTGGAGAAAATAAGAACATGAAGTCTCTGGCAAGGACTGGTACTAAGGTCACCAGATTTGCAGTAGCTACTTTTGTGGAGCTGACCACACTGTCTGTGGAAGAGTTAGATAGCATCTACAGGTCTGAGGCATAGCTCATGTGATTAGATTCTGACATAAGCCAGTACAAAGACAGGAGAGTTTGAAAGCTGTGGCAACCACTTGGAATCCCTTTTCTTTGGATTCTGCCAGGCTTCTTCTCCAGCAGTATCTTTTTTGTCCTTTGACAACTACACAACCTGGTTGAAAGGAACATCTACTTGCATCTACAGGTTAGGAATATGTAAGTATTAACTTCCATTTTCCTTGCCTCAAGGCCATGTGTGATAGTGTACACCTTCAGGTAGATACTCCTGAATACAGAACTGGACTCACGGCTGATCATCAAAGCACATGCCCCTGATATCACAGGCTCACCCCACTGCTGTCCTATAGAACCTTCCCACTGGCTCCCATCTTGTGTTCCCCACTTCCTGCTGCCAAGAGCTAGAGAAACCCAACCAATGGACAATATTGTAAATGTAAGGTTCAAGTCCCAAAACCCATTCTACAATCCATTCAATTGTCTCTAACAAGTGAATCAGTTCCTCACTGGAAGAGCCCAGATTTCTTCAGCTGGTACCCAGGCACACTCCCTCCACCCACCCCGCCCTCAGGGCTATCTGTCTCTTATCCACGATTTTTGACATTGACCATGGCAAAAAAAAAGAGGTCATTAAGTGGGAAGGTATTCATTGTCCCTCTGCTTCTAAACTCTTTGTCTCTGGTTATACCATACAAATAAATTTATAAAAACGTCCCTGGGGTTGGAAGAAAATATAACACACATCTAGCTCAAGTCTCAAAAACATTAAAATGCAGAGCAAATATGCATCCTGGAATAAGGAATAAAGTATTCCCAACTCTGTTCTGGACTCTGCACTCCGCTCCAGGCTGCCTGGGGGTCCTGCATCATTGGGGAGCCCCTCCTGGGGAGGCCCTACCTGAAAGTAGCTGCTCAGTACTGTGTGATCACTTGCTGTTTTCTTTTTCTGCTTTAATTGTCCTTCATGGTACTGACCTTTATAATGATATTATATTACCTGTTTCTTCCCACTAGACTGTAAGCTCCAAGAAGGCAGGGGCTTGTTTTGTTAACTGCCAGGACCTTGGTTACTAGATCAGCATCTGGCAGTTGCACAGCATATTTTTTATTAAATGAGTGAATGAATAACTCTCAACTGTATTGACATGCTTTCTCCTATGCTTTTGCTGAACATACAGATATAAAAAGAATAAAGATTCCTTTGGGCCCTATCATATTCCTTTTCTTAATTTTCAGAGGATTTACTGTAGATGTGTACATATACTCTGTCTCTACTCATTATCTTCCATTCTTCAAACACCTAGAATCCTTCAGTTCCACTATGAACTACTAAAATGGCCCCCAGTCAGGAGTTACAATGAATGCTTAATTGATTATCTTACTTAATTCTCCACCAATTCTTGATATTAGCATTTCCAGTCCATAGATGTGGAAACAGTATTTCTTACATGGTCACAAAATGAGAGATGGATTTGAACTCATGTCTGTCTGGCACAAAAGCAGTTGGTTCTCCCTGTATTCCAAAACCAGTTTATTCATTTACATGTTAGTATCCTCCAGTGGCTGGTGAGTGCCACATAATCCATCTCAGCAATGAGAAAATAAAGATCGTTTTGACCAACCTTTTTCTAATCAGAAAGCATATCTGTTAGAAAACAGGGAGCACTTCCATCTTCTAACTGAAATCTAAAGCAGGATTGCTGGAGACATAGTTAATGGAATTTACACAGAGTGAATTATAATGCCCTACCACCATACCTGTGGCCTTTCACAGAGCTTCCAGTGACCAAATCAGGCATATACTGGGATGTAAATATTTTAAAGCAACAATTTCAAAATAAGTTTAATGACACTTTTAAGCACGAAAAAGTAGTATTTTGATGAGCAGAAATGAAGGAAACAATAATTACGAAGGTCTTTTATCATTTTAAAAACAATACAAATTTCTTAGATACTTCCTAATCCCATATCACCTACTTCTAAAACTGAGGTCACTAAAGAACATTAGGACTGAAATAAAGGTCTAAAAATGTTAAAAGAATTTCTAAATTCCTCGTGTGATCCCTTAGTCAACTTGATAAAACATCAGTGCTACGGTGTATGGATTGGATCTGAAAAATTTTGTGGGGGGAGAGTAAGGGAAGAAATTCCTCAGAAAAAAACAAGACAAATTACATTAATACATAAGACAGAGAGCAGAGGTCTGGCTCTGGTTCTTCTATTTACTACTGGAATGAACTTGAGCAAGATAATAATCCTTAATCCTTACTGGCCCTTGTTTCCTCTCTTTAGCAAGAGAGGATTAGACAAGGTCAGAGTATTTCAAAGTATGGTCCTCAGAAGCTTGGGGACAGTCCCAACACTCTTTTCACACTAATATTAAGAAGTCCTTTGCCTTTTCCATTGTGTTGATGTTTGCACTGGTTGCACTGAAAAGGCAAATGAGATAAGTAAAACTTCTCTGGCAACTTAGCCTGAATTAAGGCCATGTCAGCAAACTGTCCAAGCAGTTACATTCTTCACTATCGTGCTCTCACAGTAGAACTACAGAAAGGCAGTGCAAAATGTTAGGTGTACTAAATCTTGATCTTTGAGGACATGCCTTTTTGATATTCTGTGTGATGAAACAGCACAAAGTGCACACTTGCTGCCTACAAAGTATGACTGTTGCTTTGAGGAACAGCTCTAGATTCAGTTGCAACGCTGACCCAGCTGCTTTTTTCATGGAATACCATTTTTACTTGGAAGAACATCTAACAGATGTAGGTTGAAATATGTTGAAAGAACATATTAAGACTTGGGCATCTGGCAGACATTTCCCCCAAAATGAATGAATGGAACTTGTCATTATAAGAAAAAACTCTGACTTGTCATTACAAGAAAAAACTCTGAAAAAACTCCGGTGCCAATGATAAAAACTATTCTTTCAAGTGGCAATTGGAATTTTGAAAAACTTGAATTCACCACTAGCAGCTTGAGCTTCCCAGTACTTAAATGGCTTTTGAGGAGACCAGCGGTTATGTTAATGAATATGATTTTTAAAATATTGTAAATGAGCCGGGCTCAGTGGCTCAGCCTGTAATCCCGCGCATTTGGGAGGCTGAGGTGAGTGGATTGCCTGAGCCCGCAGGTTCGAGACCTGCCTGGCCAGTGAGACCTCATCTCTACAATAAATCAAAAAATCAGCCAGGCATAGTAGCGCATGCCTGTAATTTCGGCTACTTGGAAGGCTGAGGCGGAAGGATCACCGGAGTCCAGCAGGTCGAGGCTGCGGTGGCCAGGAGCGGCCACTGCACTCCAGTCTGGGCGACAGAGTGAGACTCCAACTCAAAAAAAAAAAAAAAAAATATTGTAAATGAAGTATATGGAAGATCTACATAACTCAGTGAACTAATGTTTTCTAAATGACCAATGGAGGACATTACATGTATGACTCATTCAGGTATAATGACAGACCAAAATGTAACAATACAAAATAGACATGAACATGGTTTTAAATTTCACATCACAGCTATACTTTAAATAGTTACCATTTGACAAATTTTGGTGTAGTGCCAATACAAAATATCCACAATTATCTGCAAAGGCTACCCAAATACTTTGTCCTTTCCTAGCTACTAAACTGGATTTTCTTCACATAAATAATATCACAGTTTGAATACAGGACCAAATATGAGACCCAAACTGTCTTCAATGAAGCCAGATTTTAAAAGATATTTACAGAAAATATAAATCAATGCCACTCTTCTAATTTTTTGTTTTGAAAATATAGTCAATTTCATTAAACTACGTTATTTATGTTATTTATGTTAGGCTTAACTGCAACTGCAAAATGAATTCATAAATACATACTTTTTCTGCTTAATCACTGAATATGATATGTACTGAAAGATATAACTCATACAAACGATGCTCTTTAGAGTCCTCAATAATTTTTGAAAGGGTAAAGGGGCTCTGAAACTGAAAAGTCTGAGAACTATTGAACTAGATGAAATTTAACTTCCTATCTCTTTTGAAAGTCTTTGATTGTGTGTTTATGCATATGTGTGTGAATCAAAGTAGAAAATAAAACCTGGTCTGGGTGCAGTGGCACATGCCTGTAATTTCAGCATTTTGAGAGGCCGATGTGGGAGAGGGTGGATCATTTAAGGCCAAGAGTTTGAGATAAGCCTGGGCAACATAGCAAGACTCTGTCTTTACAAAATAAAAAGTTAAAAAGTTAGTTAGGTATGGTGGTAAGCGTCTGTAGTTCCAACTACTCAAGAGGCTAAGGTGGGAGGATTGCCTGAGCCCAGGAGATTGAAGCTGCAATGACCCATGATCATGCCACTGCACTCCAGCCTGGGTGACAAGGCAAAAAAAAAAAGCAGCACAACAACTCAAATCTCAAAATATTTTTTGCTTTTTATTGTTAGGTTTTTATTCCTTTTAAAATTCCTTTTGTCCTTGTTTCTTTGAGAATATAATATGACGGATCAATATAAAAGGGTTCTGGCTGGGTGCAGAGGCTCATGCCTGTAACCCACCACTTTGGGAGGCCAAGGTGGGAGGATTGCTTGAGGCAAACAGTTCAAGACCAGCCTGGGCAACTAGACACTGTCTCTATTAAAAGTAATAATAATAATAATAATAAAGTGTTAAAGTGTTAAAAGGTAATTCATCCTAATAAAAAAATTGTCATTAAAATTTCAGTAGCTGGCAACATTATAATACACATTAGATAATAAAGTGCTTGACAACCATCTTATAAATATGGAATGTTTTAGACACTTCTATCTTACTTAATCTGCATTTCCATTTATTGAACATCTCATAAATAATATTCAAATTAATAGCATTTATATTTTTCCCTCAATTATAAGAAATATCATAAGAATCTTTTGGTAGTAAATAATGTTTTAAAAAACAGAACACTTTAAAAATATAATCTTTTAACAAACAGCATTCAAAATCATTTAAAATTACTTTATCAAAACCAAAATAATCATAAGTTGCTATTCCTAATTAATATAAGTTGAATGCTGGAACTTCTATGAATGGTTTTAGGGTTTTGACGCCAATTAATTTAAAGACAAGAACAATATGTTTACTCTATTAAAAGTATAAATTGATTTATGAATTTCTATTCCTTACTATTAGACTTTTACAAAAAAAAATGCCTAGCCTGTATTTTTGGCCTGTATAACATCCTAAATACTCCTGTCAAACTACTTTGCTTTTTTATCCCTGTTCAACTCATCACACCAACCATCTGCATAAATAAAGATGTAAGCATCTGCTATATTGCAAATGGTCTCAGGGGCAGATGTTTCCATCCTTGTGTTCATGTAACTGGGGCTGGATACATTATTTGAACAGATGTACACAATCTGAAAGTGTTGTGTCCCACAGTGAAATGTCTCCAACTGCTTTCTATCAAAGTACATAAATGCTATTTGCACCTGCATTTATGTTAATGATATAAAGACAGCAGGGGTTCTGACAAAGTGAGATGTGATGCTATGAAATATTTTTACATGGCTAATTGGAATTTCTGAGAAACTCTGCTGCCAAACGGCCACAGTGACATTGATATATGCCCATAATATCTGATTACCAGCCTGCTTTTTAGGCACTAGAAATATGGCTATAACAACAAAAATACTCATAATCTGAATTTACTATTAAGAATATTTCACACTTTAATATTTTATCCCCAAATAAGAAAATAACTTCCATATAATGTCTACTTGATAAGTTTTAGGCCACCCAGGGAATCTCCATTTTGTTCTACAAAGATATTTCTATAGGTATGTGTTTTCCATTTGCTCTTCTGTCAACAGCATAACACACTAATACCGCACAATGGTATTTTGCAGAAGTTATTACATCGGAAAGTTCCAATTTCCAACATTAACAAGTTAACCAAAACCAGCTTGAAAATGTCAACCTGTACTTGGTCTGCAGCATAAAATGGTACCAAAAGTCTAAGAACAGCATTTATACCACTTGTTAAGATCAAAATGTTTCCATATGAATTACACTTACTTGGAAACACAATATTTTGGCAATACATGGGAAATGATTTTTTGCCCAATAATGAGGATACAAAGCAATGTTAACCATTAAATGCAAAGCATCAAATTACAGTGGTCCTCCTTGCTACTGTTCACGAAATGTGAGGGGTGGAGAGGCACAGAACTTGCAGAAATAGTTTTCTTTCCGTAGCCTTACTGAGCTAAAACTTATGGTCACTTTCAAATAACATATTTATTACTTTATTAGCTTGAAATTAATAGTACTGACTATGCACAGTCATTATATCTGAGTCAAGTGTCATCCAAAATAACTTACATTCTGCAAGTTATCCTGAGATTTCGACTGTGCTTTAAGAGAGTTTTCACAAGACGCATTCATACACTGCAGGTTCTCATTATTTGCAAATTCTGTTTGTGAATTTGCCTACTTGCTAAAATTTATTTGTAACCCAAAAGCAATACTTGTGATACTTTTATGGTCATTCATAGACATGTGCAGAGCAGGGGAAAATTTGAGCCACCTGATATGCACATGCCCAGCTGGAGTTGAACAAGGTAATGCTTTGCTCTCTTGTTTCGATTCTCAAACTGTAAACAGTGTCCTTTTTCATGGTCTATTTTTTGTCACTTTTTTGCATTTTGAGTTTTTTTTTCCCTTGGTGATTTCACTGTTTAGTTATAGCCCTCATAGTACTAAAATGCTGTCCAGTGTTCCTAAACACAAGAAGACTGATGTGCTGTATGGAGGAAATACTTGTGTTAGAGAAGCTCTGTTCAGGCATAAGTTACAGTGCTGTATCTGTGAGTTCAATGTTAAAAAAAAACTAACAATATGTATTAAGTAAGGTATCTTTAAACAGAAATATATATAAAATAAGGTTATGTATTAATCATTGACAAAAATGTTGTGACCAGAGGCCCACAGGAACCTAACTATTCCTAATACAGGAACAATGGTTCTGTATTTGCTAATTTAGTGTTCCCGTGACTTTATAAAATATAGCTACCACAAGTAATGAGACTTGACTGTACCTCATCTCATTTGACTGTTACAGGGCAAGAATTATTATCTTCATAGGAAAGATGAAGGGACTAAGATTTACTGGTTTAGCCAAGATCACAGAGCCTAAAAAGAAGGGCAGAAAAATGACCAGAACCTTGGTGCCCAGCTTAGTGATCTTTCACTAGACAGAGAGGAAGATGGGGAAGGATAAAAACAAAACAAAAACATCAAAAAACCCCACAAAAACCAGAATGAGAGCTTAAGAAAATGGCTAGCACTCTAGGCTGGATTTTTTGTTCCTTAAGGACTCTGACTTTTCCTTTGTCCCAATGGCTGGATGAGAACCAAGCCAAGGGGTCTACTCCTGTCTTACTTCCAATGTGTCCCCTGGATCATGCTTGGCCTTCGAATGCCATTAGGTATCCCAAGCAAGAAGCAGCCTCAAGTGCATTTCACTGACCAGGCTCCAAAGATGGAAAGAGCCCAGTTATTAATAACAACTACTAAGAGTAATAGTCGTTACCATCTTATAAGTGCCTACTATGCAATCAACAATATGCTGGGTGATTGACATATATTATCTCCTTTAGTCTCCACATATCCTATGGGATGAAACTTACCTTAATTTTACACAGTTACAGAGGAGAAAGCTGAGGCCAAGTGAGGTACCTAAGATTACACAATTAAGTGGTAGAATTGAGTTTCAAATCCAGATTCCACGTTCTTAAGAGTTATGACACTACCTTTTTCACTGGTAGGGAGATCAGAGAGTGTCTGCTCCATTTGTGGATTCTTTTTTTTTTTTTTGAGTTGGAGTCTCACTCTGTCACCCAGACTGGAGTGCAGTGGCCTCGACCTGCTGGGCTCCAGCGATCCTTCCGCCTCAGCCTTCCAAGTAGCTGGAACTACAGTCGCGCACTACCACACCCAGCTAATTTTTTTGATTTATTGTAGAGATGAGGTCTCACCAAGTTGCCCAGGTGGGTCTCAAACCCACGGGCTCAGGCAATCCACTCACTTCAGCCTCCCAAAGCGCAGGATTACAGGCTGAGCCACCGAGCCCCGCTTGTGGATTCTTTATAGCAAATTCCCTCCTTTCACTAAAAACTACATCTTCTAGTAAGGCAGTCAAATTTTGCATCATTAAATATATAATTTTTCTCACACATGTTAAAATATCTCTTCTGTGTACAAAAGACTAGGTAGGGGCAGGAGAAAGACTTGTACTTCTTCTAAGGGTTAGAGTTCATCCTTTACAGTGCAGACAATTTAATTTATTCTTTATAAAGAAAGAACTCTACTTCCACCTGTAAACTGTTTTTCTGGAAGCTCCAGAAGTTCCTGTTGAAGAAATCACAATTTTACTTTTTACAAATTGTATATAGAGAAAATGGCTTTCTGGTTTCTTTTTTAAATGAGTATGGGAAGAAAAAAAAATCAAAGAAATATATAAGCAAATACTAATCTCCCTCCCCCACATGTATGCATGCACACATGCATGTCAATGTATATGCATATGTTCTTCAACTCATTGAAACACCTATTTAATTCTGCTTCAATAGAACCAATACTTTACATTCCATTGACATCTATTAGTACCACAGATAATCGCTAGCTAGTAGGTTGGGCTCTGTGAGTTTTGGGTGGAATTAGATGGCCCTGCTCTAAAGGAGCTATCAGCATAGTAAAGCAGATACATCCTCCACTCAAGTAATTTACCAAAGGAAACACACTTTTATATATAATTTTTATTTTTAAATCTAGGAAAAAAGTCACCTTATGATTAGAGGGCAGTGACATTAAATGTATCAATTAAAGACTATTTATAACACACACATGCCATTTTCCACAGCATGGCTTATCTTACCTTGATCTTTTGGTGGTACTGATAAAGAATTCTGCATTATGCTGTATTTGACTTGAATAGCAATTTTCCTAAAAATAACCAAGCACAAATAATAATTAGAAAAAAACTGAGATGTCAATGTATACTAAAAATATAAATTCTAAGCTGTTTTTAAAAGTCTTTCTATATATAACTACATGAGGAATAAGAAATGAAGTGACAGATTAAAAGGAATGTTTTTATTTTCTTCTCATTTTTCTACAGACAGGATTTAACTGACTGTGCCACAGTGGACTTGGAGAGAGAGGCAATGACATGTTGAGTCAGGGGCCTTACCTGTAATCTCTACTCCTGTGGAGTCATGTGCTAGTAGGCAAAGTCAAGATCCTCTGAAAATGCCCTGTCTGACAATTATGTTTCATATATTCTGTTTAAGAAGAAATAACTAAAGTGCTTAACAATATAGATACAGGTAATATAATTATAATATATTCATTTGATGGAATATAATTGTCATTAAAATGCAATTGTGAAGATTAGGTAGCAACATTAAAAAATGTTGTTATAATGGATTGAATGAGCATGCTAACATTGCAACTACGTAAAAATACACTGGATGGGATTAGTGGCATATTAGACATGTTAAAAGAAAATATTAGTAAATCTGAAGGCATTAACAATGAAGACTATCCAGAATGAAACACGGGAGAAATGAAAAAAAAGAAAAGAACAGAGCATCAGTGAGCTGTACACAACTTAAGAAGTAATTGGAAAAGAGAGAGATGGAAGGACAGAAAAAATGTTTTAACAAATAATGATGGCCGGGCTCGGTGGCTCAGCCTGTAATCCCGTGCCTTTGGGAGGCTGAGGTGAGTGGATTGCCTGACCCCGCGAGTTCGAGACCCGCCTGGGCAGCGAGACCTCGTCTCTACAATAAATCAAAAAGTCAGTCGGGCGTGGTAGCGCGCGCCTGTAATCCTGGCTACTCGGAAGACTGAGGCGGAAGGATCGCCGGAGCCCAGCAGGCGAGGTTGCGGTGGCCGGGAGTGGCCACTGCACTCCAGTCTGGGCGACAGAGTGAGACTCCAACTCAAAAAAATAAAAAAAATAATAAAAAAAATATAATGATAAGACCACTCTGAGAATGAAGCCACCGGCGTGCGCAGGATTGTCTGCTGTTCTTGGGGCTCTCCTGAGAAAAGCCTGCTGAACACAGCTGATTCTCATCACCTGATCCTGGTCCACACCATCACCTATGATAGCAAAGTGGCTGGAGCCCCAGAACCATGGAGAGAGCAGATGGGGAGAGCTGGAGAGGAGCCCCACCAGCAGTGAGGAAAGGCCAGTCAGAGCCATTTTCTCTGTCCCGGACCAGGTAGAGACCTGAATTGCCCCACCCAGCTATAACCAGCCTCCAATCTGGGACCTAGAGGTTATGTCATCAAACCTGGAGAGACAGACGCCCTTCCCTCATGCTGGAAGAGGCACAGACACATCAGATCTGAGAGTTGACAGCAGTAGGCTGGGTGAGTCCATATCTGACCCATTCTCCTCTCACAATAGTCCATGGGGCATCTGATCCACACTTAGAGCAGCCCTATTAGCCTGTGCTGAGAGCAGGAGGAGGGGCTGGAGACCAGAGCTGAAAGGAAGTTGAAGTTACAGAAACTGTCTCAGAGCAAGTTTTGTTTGTTTGTTCTGTTTGGTTTTTTTATTGTTTGTTTCAGTTTTGTGGGTTTTTTCTTTTCCTATTCTCTCTTTCTGTTTTTGATTACATTTTTATACTTGCTTTGTTTCTGTTATTTTATTGGGTTTTTTTAGACTTCCTGTTTGTGTATGGGTATTTTTGAGGGAGAGTACATCAATTGAAGGGTTTTTGTAGGTTTGTGTGTTTGTACGATTGCCTGTATTTTTTAAAAATCTTTTCCATCTTTGTGTCTCTTTTCATTTGTTAGTTGGTATGCTTGTCTGTTTTCCCTCTTATTCTTCTCTCTCCATCTTCCTCTCATTCTCCTCCTTCCCTTCTCTATTCTTTTCCTTTTTCTTACCTCATTTTGCTTTTAAGGGGCAAACATATACCCCCACTGCATGGACAGATTATAAGGCAGTGAGAAGTGGGATCCAGGGGGCCCACACACCAGTCAGCGGATACTGGGATCGGCAGATAGTTTCTCAATCACAGCTCCCCCTAAATTAATCTCAAAACTGCAAAAAGTGGAGCCCACCACCCACAAACAAGCTATAGAATTAAACAAAGCCAGAGGATGTACATAGGGAAGAACAGGTGATTAGGAAATGGAAGTAAAAGTTACCCTCCCATCCCTGAACAACAGAATTAAAGAAGAGGTTTTGAGGGGGGGGGAAATCTACACAAATAAAGAAAAACCAAAAGAAGAATATGGGAATATGGATCTCACACAGACCCCTGGAAAGTCAACCACTAAGAATACAGACTTTGGAACACAGACAATGAAGAGCCCCCATAATGATTGGTCTCAAACCACAAACCCAGATATCAAGACATTAATAGAGAGAATAAATAGAAATGAGGAGAGACAAGAGGAAGCAATGAAGGAGTTGATAACTAAGATAACAAATAAAAGAATATAGTGAATGAAATAAATAACAAATTGATAAGCATGGAAAGCAGACTTAGCCAAGCAGAAGAAAGAATCTTAGGGCCAATATGTGGAACTAACCCAAACTGTCAAAAACATACAAAAGAAGCTTAAAAAAACAGAATGAAACCTTTGAGAGTTGAATGATTATTTCAAGAGGCCAAATCTAAGATTAATTGGAATTACTGAGGCAGATAGAGAGACAGAGACCACCCTGGAAAAATATTCCATGAAATTATACAAGAAAACTTCCCTCATCTCGTCAGTGACATGACAATTCAAACACAAGAGATTCAGAGAACCCCTAAGAGACAGCAAATGAGAAGACCAACTCCTAGATATATAGTAATTTGCCTACACGAAGTAGATATAAAAGAAAAAATCCTAAAGTCAGCAAGAAAGGTCAGACTACCTACTGGGGAAGACCAATTAGAATAGCTGCATACTTATCTACAGAAAACTTCAGGCTAGGAGAGCTTGGAGCCCAATCTTAAAAGTTCTCAAAGATAAACAATTTCAATCAGGAATTACCTACCGAGCTAAACTAAGCTTCATCAGTGATGGAGAATTAAAATCTTTCCCAGACATTCAATTCCTAAAAGCTTGCACTGCCCACAGACCAGCTCTATAAGAAATGCTTAACAGAGTATTAAACACAGAAGAAAGAAAAAAAAAAAGAATGACAATGCCCATCACAAGAATACAGGAAAAAGACTGAAAACACACATAAATCAACCCAAAAATCAAAAGAAAGACAACAAACTGCAGCAACAATAACAAACGCTGTAAGAACATCATGGCAGGGATAAACTCTCACATCTCAATAATTAGCCAGAATGTGAATGGACTAAATGCACCACTAAAAAGATATAGAATGCAAAATGGATAAAATATCATGAGGCAACAAGATATTGTCTCCAAGAGACTCATCTCACCAGAAAGAACACTCAGACTCAAAGTCAGAGGATGGGAACAAGATTTCAGGCAAATGGAACACAAAAGAAAGCAGGAGTCATGATCCTAATAACAGACAAAATACTCTTTAAGCTATCAAAAACTTAAAAAGATATGTAAGGTAACTACATAATGATAAAAGGTTCAATCCATCAACAAGAAATATCTACCCTAAACATATATGGGCCCAACATAGGAGCACCAATTTTTATAAAGCAGCTTCTAGGCAAACTTGGAAAAGATATTGACTCTAACACTATCATAGTTGGGGACTTAAATACCCCACTCACAACCCTACACAGATCATCAAGACAAAAAAATCAGCAAGGAGATCTGGAGCCTCAAAGTAACGCTTGACCAAATGAACTTAACACCTACAGAACACTCCACCCGATGACCATGGAATATACATTCTATCTATCACCATATAGAACATACTCTAAGATCTACCACATCCTCTGCCATAAATCAAGCATAAACAAATTCCATAAGATAGAAATGTTGCTATGCATCTTCTCAGACCACAGTGGAATAAAAATAAACATCAACACCAATAATGTTCCCACAAAACCCACAAAGACATGGACACTAAATAGTATGAAGATAGACAACTCCTGGGTCAACATGGAAATCAAAACAGAGATTAAAAGATACCTGGAAATAATGAAAATGAAGAAACATCTTACCAAAACTTCAGGGATGCCATTAAAGTAGTACTAAGAGGGGAATTCATATCTCTACATACACATATGAAGAAAATGAAAAGTTAACACCTAGCAAATCACTTAAGGAAGCTGGAAAAGCAAGACCACCAACACCCTAACTTCAGCAGAAGAATCCAGATCACCAAACTAAAAGCCCAAATTTGAGACATAGAAGACAAAAAGATAATACAAAAAAACCCAACAAAACCAAAAGGAGAAAAAGCCCAAATAAACAGAATCAGAAATCACACAAAAGATCATCACAACTGATCCCAAAGAAATACAAAATACCATCAGAGACTACTATCCACACTTGTATGGAAACAAACTCAAAAATCTAAATGAAAAAGAGGACTTTCTTATATCACACAACTTCCCCAGGTTGAAACAAGAAGAAATCAAGACCCTAAATAGATCAAAATCTAGGAAATTGACTATGTCATAAGAAAATTAGTCACAAATAAAAGTCCTGGACCAGATGGTTTTCCAGCAGAATTCTACAAAACATACAAGGGGGAGCTGAAATCAATCCTGCTGAAAGTATTTCAGGCAACTGAGAAAGATGTAACTCTCCCCAAATCATTTCATGAAGCTAACATCACATTGATACCCAACCCAGGTAAAGATGCAACAAAGAAAGAGAACTACAGGTCAATATCCTTGATGAGCATGGATGCTAAAATTCTCAACAAGATTCTAGCAAACCGGATCTAACAACATATCTCAAAAATCATCCACCATGACCAAGTAGGCTTCTTTCCCAGGATGCAGGACTGGTTCAACATTCATAAGACTATAA